AATCTACCATTATTTTAATGTTAAAAGAAGTGCATCGAAGGAGTTTTTTTCGAATTAATGCTAATTAATTAATTAATTACGAAAATAATGTTGGGTTAAAAGTATTTACGGATCTACTGCTGGATTTAACCGTGGTTAGGGAAAGTCGCCCAACCGTTGGGCGACTTATAAGTCGCCAAACGGTTTGGCGACTTATAAGTCGCCCAACGGTTGGGCGACTTTCCATTAAGTAAAAACAGTGCCCAGCCACAAAACAGAACACTGCGAATGAAACCCAACCCCCAAATCCCTCTCCGGCGAAAGACGAAGGACGAAGGACGAAGGACGAAGGACGAAGGACGAAGGACGAAGGATGACCGAGCCATTTCCATCTCCGGCGAACTTCCATATCCGGCGACCCCACTCCGGCAAACCTCCATCTTCAACACTCTTTCTTTTTTCTTGTAGGTAAATCAAACTCCATTTCATCTCATTTTTAACTTAGGGTTTTGAATGTTAAATTTTTGGAATTTTTAGATTATGAAATGTTCAAATTTGATTTGAAATTGATTTTGACATGTATATATTTTGACATTTGGGCATTTGGGTGGATTTGAATGTAGCTAAATTTGGGTATTGAAATGTAGACTTGAATGTAGATATCAAAATTTGGGTATTTTCATATTGAAATGTGAGTTGTTTGTGAATCTTGACTTTTGGATATATTTGAATTGTTATTAGAATATGGATTTCTCAAGCTTCCCAATTGTGTGTCATTGGGGAGGGAACTATTATGAGGATGTTGGTCAAATATGCCATGAAGGTGGTACAACCACATTTGTCATGGTTTGTCGTGGTGCTTGCATGCTCGAGATCCTTCAAAAAATACATACAGCCACAATGATTCATCCTAGCCGTTCTTTGCGTTTGAAAATGAAATTTCCCATGAACGGGGGAAAGTACATGCTTATGCCCCTCACTGATGAGCTAGCTATAACAAATATGTGGGCCATAGTTCAGATGGAGGACATGTCAATGCTTGAGATATACATCGAGGAATTCGTATGTGACGCTTATCGTACTCCATCAACATCAAATGCTGTTGTATCTAGGCATTATGTCAATGCAGGTGTGAATGCTGGGAACTCCTCAAATGCTCCTATAATGGACATGGTTATACAGGAAGATGGTAGGTATTTGCACAACGGTGCATCATTTGTGGATGGGCAGGGAAGTGATGATGATGCTGACGACAACATCAATGGTGAAGATATGACAGAATCTGATGAAGATGATGGTGATACGGTCACGGCAACTGCCCCGTCTACCCACTTTACTAGAATGTATGATCTCCCTGAAGGCTTTACTGATATGTGGCTGAGTGGATCAGGTGAGAAAAGGTTTACCCCCGAAGGTGAGTTTGAGGTCGGTCAACAGTTTGACAACAAAGAACAAGTAATCAATATGGTGAGCTTGTATTCTATCAAACGGGACCAATTTTTTCGGGTGATAGAGTCCGATAAACACAAATGGGTGGCACAATGCAAAAGGAAGAAAGAAGGTAATTGCCCCTGGAGAATACGCGTCACAAAGAACAAAGGCAACCTTGACACCTTCACAATTGTGCGTTATCGTGGACCTCATTCTGCTACGTGTGTTGGGAACACTGACACTAACGATCACGTGACTTTGACTTCATATTTCATCTGTAAAGATGTGATTGACATTGTTCGCACTGATCCTTCCCTTAAAGTGCATACTATCATTGAGATGCTGAAGGAAAAGTATGGGTATACGGTATCATACCGGAGAACATGGATGGGGAAGCAAAAGGCCATAGCGGAAATATTTGGCGGTTGGGAGAAGTCATATTCTGAATTGCCCCGTTTCATGACAGTGCTCCAACATTCAAATCCAGGAACTATTGTGCAGTGGTACCCACCCCCTGATACTCCCACAGGTTATATGCAGTTTCAAAGAGTTTTTTGGGCATTCAAGCCATCAATACATGGTTTTAAGCATTGTCGACCCGTACTTACTATTGATGGCACACACTTGTATGGAAAGTACAAGGGTACACTGCTCGTGGCCATGGGTTGTGATGCGAACAACCAAATATTTCCAGTGGCCTTTGCAGTTGTTAAATCTGAGAATGGGGATAGTTGGTCATGGTTTATGGCATGTATTAGGCAGTTTGTCACTAATCGGGAGTTGTGTGTCATTTCTGATCGGCATGGAGGTATTGTCAGGGCAATGAATGAGGTGGGCAGTACTTGGGAGGAGCCTTATGCGCATCATAGGCTATGTATCCGCCATCTTGCATCGAATGTGCACACTCATTTCAAAGACATTCATCTAAAAAATCCTTTTGTCTGGACCGCACGGCAACATCAGAAAAAGAAGTTTGATGGTGGGTTCAGGAAGATAGGTGAAATGAGTTTGGAGGCACGACAATTTCTGGGGAACATTCCCCCGGAAATGTGGTCATTGCACCATGATGGCGGGTACAGATACGGTACCATCACTTCTAATCTGGCAGAGGTTTTCAATAGTGTGATGAAAAATGCTAGATATTTGCCCATCACCGCTTTGGTCTAGGTTTCCTTTTACCGGGTTAATGCTTATTTTGTTAATAGGCGTGAAACCAGTAAAATGAGAGTGACAGAAGGCCACGAGTACTCCCCATACATCACACATTTAATTGATAAGAATAGAGAGAAGGCCAAGCATCACATAGTTACTCCATTTGATTTAGGCCGAGGGTTATTTCAAGTGGAAACCGGTTGTGGTGGCCGAACGTTGGGGAAGGGTGGGAGAAAACAAACTATCCATCCGAAACGGAAAACTTGCACTTGTAAAAAGATGGAGATATATAAGATTCCATGCTCCCATGTGTTAGCCGTGTGCAGACAACGTAGCTTGTCTTATGCTCCATTTGTGGATAAGTTTTTATCATCTGACCAATACGCGGCCACATATCATAGAGTCTTCAAACCCATTCCTGATCGTGATTATTGGCCTACTTACAATGGACCTGAAATCGTGCACGATTCATCCATGCTTCGGGCTAAGGGAAGACCTAAGTCCACACGTATTAAGAATGAGATGGATGAAGGTCCCCGAGGAACTGTTAGATGTGGAAAATGCCACCAAACCGGCCATAATAGGGCCACATGTGTGAAGAGATCATCAACACACGATGGGGGGTCCAGTGGGTAAGGTGTTTAATAGTAAAAATTAACTAATACGATTTTGTTTGTTTGTAGGCATGCAGGTGACAGCGGATCCTAGGTCGAGTGATCAAGATGACCATGACAACTTCTACTTTGTCTTTTGTATTGCAGTTTTTCTTGTACAACATTTTAGATAATTTACAACATTTTAGATGTTGTAGGAACAATTTACAAAATGTTACGTATTTTCTCTTGTATGTTGTATTTATGTGTTCGAGTATGAATATTAGATGATTAATTGTTATGAATGATTGATGATTGTACTGTGTTTTACCGGTGAGTTGTATGTGTTTATGTATGTGTTTGTGAACATGTGTGTTGTATGTTTTATAATGTGTTGCATCTCGCTCGTAACACTTAAACAGGAGAAGGGAGACCTTATTTATAGCAAAAAGATGAGTCTGGGTTAAAATGGGGCAAAAAAACTGATGAAATTCTATTTTCGGAATTAGGCACGATCGTGCCTACCCGTCCGGGCACGATCGTGCGTGGCTAGCAGTAGCTGTTGGCTGCGTTTATATGGAAGGAGAAAGTCGCTCAACGGTTGGGCGACTTATAAGTCGCCAAACTGTTTGGCGACTTATAAGTCGCCCAACCGGTGGGTGACTTTCCCTAACCATGGTTAAACCCAGCAGTAGATCGGTAAATATTTTTTTACCAACATTATTTTCGTAATAAATAAATTAATTAATTAACATTAATTCGAAAAAAAACTCGCATCGAAGAGCTCTCACATACGTGTGGCTGTTAGTACGCCATAAGTGTCGCAAATATATTTAAATTTTGAAAAATTAAATGGTAGGTACCTCTTAAATTTAAGAAGGTACAGTACCTCTGCCTCGGTGGACCAATAAATGTGTGTTTTGACGGTTCAAGTGAACGCACAAGTAGGGTTGTATACGAACCGAATCGAGTCGAATAATGAGATTTTGTATTTGTATTTGTTTAATTTTTCCGAATACGATTTCGAATTCAAATATGAAACGAATATTAATTTTGATTTGTATTTGTATTTGTTTAACAATACGAATAGTTAACGAATCATATACGAATATCGAATCGATTTGAGCATAAGTTAAATTTTAGTCAAATATCACTCTAAAATAACTTTTTTATATTCCATATTTTTTATGTTGTAAATGCATGCTATGACTTAATATGTGTTTTTGAATTTAAATTTAATGGATCAATGCATTTTTAGATGGTACACAATATACTAAAGTGAATTAATTTTATGATTAATAAATATAAATCTATTTCAAACTTTTTTAAATAAACACTAACACACACATATTAGAAATTATACTTATAATGTGTGAAATAAGTTGATAATTACATATATCAAAGTCTAACAACTCTAATTTTATTCTTCAAATCGAATATATAATTATTTGTATTGTATTTGAAAGACGTTTGAACCAAAAAAATTGATTTGTATTTGTATTTATATTCTGATTTATTACAAATAGGTTTGGAATTTGTATGCAAAAGTGTATACATGGGTTACACTTTGAGGGCATTGCTATCTTTTAAAAGTTATTATAGTGTTATTACTACTATTATTATTAATATTGACATTAATATTACCATTATTATTAATCGAATATATTTGATTAATATTCGAATTGAATACACTGATATTTTTATTTGTATTTGATAACAACTCGAATCAAATTTAATATTCCTATTTGTATTTGAATTTTCCGAATTCGAATTGTCTTATATGAATTCGAATCAAGAAACCGGCTCAAATTATTTGATTCTTTTAGGACCCTACCGACAACTACCTCAACCGCAGAAACAAAATTAAACTGAGAAGCGGAAGTCTGCGGCAAACATGACGTTCTCTCCGTGGACGCATCAGAATGAAGACTGCATTCTCACCGGCAAATTCTATAGGATTCTTCTGCTATGAATTGAAAGTCACCCATTTTCTTGATTGTTACAAGTCTCTTTAATTCATATTCCTAACACTAAAAAAATTGATTGTGTGTCCGGATTACCGAAAGGATTCATCATCGTCGTCACTGTAACGAATCGTGAATGCAATCACTGTAAGTTTACGTCAAGTTCCATTTTTGTGATTAGTTCGTTACACGTTTTTACACATATAAAGCCCGCAGCTCGCATAATCTCACCCAATTTTCGACCTAATTCGCTCAATATCACAGTTCTCCATCACCCTGGCCGTTAGCTCCTGGTCACCGCCTATCCGGCAAACATGTTAGTTTCTCTGTCCATTTTACCCTCTTCGTTTTATTTGTTTTTAATTTTTCATTTCCTCATTTTTAATTCCACTCGTTAAAGTTTCAGGTAGTTTTAGGCTTTGTTTTTAGTTTCGTTTTAGTTTAGTTTTATGAGGCTCTTTACTTAATTGTGTAAGTTAGTCTACTGAAAATAAAATCTTATTCATATTTCTTTACACGGGAGACATAAAATACACTTCATAAGTTTTCCTTCTAGTACATTGGTTGCTGAAGTTGACATTTTTATGGGTTTATTGCTGTTGTCTCTTGATGGTTAATTATTTTCCAAGAATGTTGAAATGTTTTCATCTTTATTTATTCACGGAGTACTACCTATGTATAAACATAAGGATGGGGAGTATCATGTGTCCCTATTGTAGCCAGCTTAATGATATTTCTTAGTTATTACATAAATGATTGCTATGATATTTCTTAACCAAATTGTAATCATCTACGTAGTAGTAAACTCTTTATTTCCAGGTTCATATTCTGTGAATAATCTGTACGCTTAAACAAACTGTTTGCTCATCATTACTGAGATGTTAAAATTATGTGGTTGGCACTTGGGCAGTAAACATGCTATCACAGCCACTCTGTCAGGATGATTCAGATAGTCAACACTCACGTAGCACCCCTGGATCTGAAGTGAGGCCATTATTTATGTCAACAACAGAAGTACAACCGGTGCAAAATGATCCACTAATGAAGCCCAACTCTACCCAACAGCCTATCTCACATTCACAGCAACAACCGGTATTGCCTTCTGAATTAGGCCAACGTCGTCACATTGTCATCAGTGAGTAAGTTTAATTAACTTGCTTGACCTTTTAAAGAATAGAATCGATATTTACCTCATTGTGTCATCTTAACATGAACTAGTGTTAATGTGCTGTTGAAAATAGTTACTCTTTCTGGCTTAATAGGATGATACGTTCGTTAATTGCTATACTATATTGTGAATGGACTTGTGCATTATTTTTTACAGTTTGGGATGTGACATGGGTGTGTTAAAGTCCATAAAGGCTATTTGCTCAGACTTGTTCTCTGGTTGACCCACGAGCTACAAGCGCTTGTCAACTCAGTCCCGAGAGGCTTACATTTCAAGATTCTCTGTAATTAGTTTTATACTTTATGTTTTAAAGTTAAACTCGTCAAACTCTTAAAATCCATAACAGGTTATAATGTTATATGCTTTTTCATCTTTTGAGTTGTACTTGATGATTCATCCTCTTATTGCAGCTGGAGTACACATGGGCGCCGTCAGATAATGAGAGAATGGTCTCCACCCTCCATGCGCTATTTGCTAATCGCTACCGGGCAAATTTCTCCAATTTAAGAATTGCTGCACAAGATAAGTTTATTGATTATGCTAAAGGTCAGGATCTGGACTGTACCCTCGTAATGCCCTTCAGACCGGAATTTGAATCTCCAGACATATGGCATGACTTATGCATTCTTGGAAAGTTAAAGCATAATCATATCGGTAAGTAATTCTCATATTTATTAACTAAAGTAGTAATATAAGTTATTAATTTTTTTAAACTTGGTTGTAGAGTATTATCCCATTTAATCACAATATATTCTTTGGAATCAGTATGCAAGTATGCGACATTTTCTTAAAAAGTGAAAAGTTATGGGTTGATCTCAGGTTTGCTAGATTTTATCCAAATGTGTACATTACAATGGCAAGTGTAAATTATTTGTGTATACAATGATGTGAAAATTTTACGCCTAATAGAATGAGGTGACCTCAATGGGCTTATGGGCCCAAGTCGTGATGGTTTTGAGAGTATCCTTGTCGGACATGGTTTTGGCACTAGAAATGAAGCGGGGACAAGCATTCTGGATTTTGCCTCGACATATTAGTTGGCTGTAATGAACACTTAGTTCAAAAAAGAGACTTTTACCTTATGACCTATAGAAGTGGAGTTAATAGTACCCAGATTGAATAATGTTTAGTACGATCGACTCGGAGAACTAACTACACTGACCGTAAGGTTATCCGGTTATCCCAGATGAGAGTGCAGTCACTCAAAAATGAAGTGGTGGAGACTCGAGGGGGATCTCTAATAAAGTTTTGCACCCAAAATGTTGGAGGAAGATGTATGGGGCATCGATAATGACGCACATCTGGAGGATTTGTGGTTACCAAAAGAGTCGATCATTAACAAAGTGGCGAAGTAGATAATTGAAGAATCTAAAAGATGTATACCACAAAAAAGGGACATATCTTGGTTGAATGATGAGGTGAAACAACCAATAAGGATCAAAAGAGAATGTTACAAAAAGTTTGGCAAAAGTTGGAGCGATTAGAATATAGAGGAGTACAAGAAGGCTAAAAGTAAAGCAAAGAAAGCCATAAAGGAAGCAAGAGGGAAAGTGATCTCGGAATTGTATGTAAAATTGGACTCTAAGAAATGAGAAAAAGATATTTACGGACTTGCTCGCCTTTGTGATCGTATGACTCAAGATATCGGAAAAGTTAAGTTTGTGAAGGATGTCGATCAAAGGGTATTAATGGAGGAGATCATACTTTGATACCTTGTTCAACGGGTATAAAGTGTAAGGTATTGATGATCTTACTATACCAGATTGTATGGTAAATCAGGACTTCAAGAGAAGGATCCAAACGATAGAAGTTAAAGGATCCAAAAGATCTCTTTTATCCTCTTTACTCTCCCATTTTCTTATATTTGTCTTTATTTTATCCATTTTATCTTACTTTATCTTTTTATTATTCTTATCTTTCTTCTCTTTTTGGCTCTGATGGATCGTTTCATGTTAGTCAACCCCAAAGTCTTTTGGCAATAAGGCTTGGATGTTGTTATTGTTGTTGTTGTTGTTGTTGTAGATATCTAGTAATGGTGGGCTTGTTTGGAAAATTTGGGTGCTTCACTAACATGATTGTTGTAATGCTCTTTGTGATCCTTGAAAATTACTGAACAAGTAACATCTTTTTACTAGTTTCTTCAAAACCTTTCCCCTAAATATTCAGAAAGCTCTCTGCTTTAACATTTTACTCAAAAAATTATATGCCCATGTGTTTGTTTGCATATAATTAGTGATTTCAACTAAGATTCACATTGAAAATAAAGTAGATTCGAACCAAACTATGTAAGAAGTCTACTCTTAATTAATTGTGTTTATGATGTTAACTAGAGATCTGTTTGCTTTAAAAAATTGTAGCAATCCTTGGGGAAGGTGAGGTTCCAGTTATGACAATGGGCAGGAGGTCAAAGTCACGAAGGCTTGATGGAATGGTATTCTGTTCAATCTTATTTGATATGTACTATTTATTAAATCTATACATGTTTTCGTGTTTTACTAATCAGAAATCAATTTTGAATGGACTTGAGTTACTTTTTTGGTCAAATTTGGTCACTTTAACAAATTGAGTCACAAAGTTGGATATTGCATTTGGAAGCTCAAACAGTTCTAAAAATTAGGGGTGGACATATCGGTTTTGGTTTGAGTTTGGTAGTATTTCTTTCAAGCTGTGATAGACCGAATCGAAACCGAGAAAAACCGAATAAAGCCTAACCGAACTAATGAAATTCAATAAAACTTCATATATTATTAAAAAACAACAAATCCAAACCGAACCGAACCAAACCGAAATATGGTATGATTTTTGTTTGGTAATAATTCCTCCAATCCGTTCCAAACCGAACCAAATCGAAACCGATAAAAACCGAACCGAAAACCGATCTGCTCTCCCCTACTAAAAATGATAGAAATGAGATAATAACGCGGCCCTTCAAATGTGTTATGAACAGCCTACATATATGTATGTTAAATTAAAATGGTAATTTGTAAAAACTAAAAAGTTAGGTTACAGATTTACTTTGCTTCAAAAGTATTCCAAGCCATCTCTTTAAGCCAGCATTATTGGCTCCTGATTGATATGGAGACCATGATAAAGTCGCAGTTATGGTTATTATCCCTTGGGGTTTGTTTGGAACTTAGTAAATGCTGGGAAGGAAGATATATGTGATAATTTTAAGGAAATAATATATGGAGCAGAATAAAGACTAGGAATTAATAGACTAAAGTGTAATATTATTAAAAAATATTTGTATTATTATGTCATTATTTTCCAAGGTAAAATCAAACAAAAGAAAATGACTTCCCTTTGGAGTTTGGACTCTTTTCCTTGTTTATTTTATCATATACCTTCAGTGACACAATACACTTCATAATTTAGAGAAATTACACATAAGATGGGAAAAAAATATTGTCTGAGTGACTAAAAAGTGAACAGTTTAATAATTTCAATAAACAATACTCCTGTATTTTGCTCGAAAAGCTCAACTTCAGTTAAACTACAACATTTTGATTCAGAGTGACAAAGCGAGGTGCATAAAGGAATTAATGATTTTACTATCGTTACTTTGGAATGAAAAGTACTAGAACATGCTTCATTACCTCCCGTATAATGAAGTTGCCTATTTCAGTTTTGTCCTGTACAAATGCTATAATGTCCAGATGTTTGAATGTTTCTTCAAGCTTTTCTATAAAATTAATGCTAACAATTCCAGCAGAACTTGTTCTATAAAATAAAAACTGGTGAGAGAGTTCAATGATTATGTTATGCTAATATTGTAGGAATCTAGGGAGACACAGGAGCGCAACTCTCATGCCGAGGCACTCATGGCCAGAAATGCTGAACTTAGGATTGAGTTTGAAGTGCTCATGACGATGCAGCATGATTTCAAAACCCAGATAAGCAATATATGGAGTGCTCTGGTCAGTATGGGTGTGGTTAACCCTAGTATGAGTCCATCTCAGATTTTTGTTGTTGGGGGATCCTCATCTCAGAATCAGCCATCGTCAACCTCAGCCACCAATGTTCAAGCAGCCACAACCTCAGCCGCCAATGTTCAAGCAGCCACAACCTCAGCCGCCAATGTTCAAGCAGCCACAACCTCAGCCGCCAATGTTCAAGCAGCCACAACCTCAGCCGCCAATGTTCAAGCAGCCACAACCTCAGCCGCCAATGTTCAAGCAGCCACAACCTCAGCCGCCAATGTTCAAGCAGCCACAACCTCAGCCGCCAATGTTCAAGCAGCCACAACCTCAGCCGCCAATGTTCAAGCAGCCACAACCTCAGCCGCCAATGTTCAAGCAGCCACAACCTCAGCCGCCAATGTTCAAGCAGCCACAACCTCAGCCGCCAATGTTCAAGCAGCCACAACCTCAGCCACCAATGTTCAAGCAGCCACAACCTCAGCCACCGATGTTGGAGTACCAACCTACGATGATGACAAACCAGTATAGTTCACACAGTCAGCTCTCTGGGATGACTCACGCACATGCGCAGCGCAATCATTTTCCTTCACAGTCCAGCCCCAATATCCACCCTCGAAAGCCTCTTCTACTCCTTTGATCCGACTGACTCGAGATGACTCATCATGCTCCAACAGTTTGGTGACACTGAAATTAGTGATAATGTAAACGCTATGGAGAACACCTTTTTAAATGGTAATGATTAGTGGATTTGTTAAGAGCTTAGAAATAAATTAAAGTATACATTTCTATTTAAGCGAAAAGAATATCTTTTGCACTACTTTATTTTGGTCTGCAAAGTGTACTGTTTAGTGAAAATTTTGATTAGTAAGTTTTGCATTCCAATTTAGTTTCTCCAACCCACTAATGACCCGTTTCATTTTTTTAATCAAAGTTGAAGTAGACAATTTTTCCCATATAGTTTTTTCTAAACTTTATATGTGATTTATGTTTTAGGCTTAAATACATTTTTTGTCTCTGCAAAATATGACACATTTTATTTTAGATCCCTGTAGAATATTTTTTTAATCATCGTAGTAGTATATACTTCCTCCGTCTCATTTTAGTTGCAACAGTCAACATTTCACGTTTGTCAACGCACAACTTTGACCGTCATTATATTTAATTCTGTATTAGTCAAAATAAAATAAAAATCAGATTATAAAACTTAGGAATGAGACAAATTTAACAATAATTTTCAAAAAAAAATAATTCACATACATTAATAAATAAAATGTAGTCAAAGTAAAGTACATGAATAGTGCATATATTCCAATGTTGCAACTAATGCGATACGGAGGATAGTACATTTTTATTTTAGTCCATTTTTAACTCCAAAGCAACTATCTTCAAAAAATAAGTCATTTTAGAGACTTTTCATTTTATCTTTTTGTAACTTTTTTTATATCTTAATATGAGAGTTAATACAATATAGAACTAATCATTCATGTTTTTAAAATGCGGAGAATGTTTTAACAACCTTCAAAAAAATAAAAATACACATTTTGTGAATCCAAATAATAAAGAATCAAAGAAAATTTATTAATCAGATTATTAGATTGTCAAATGTAGGTTATTATAATCGGTAAGCGATTAAAAAGAAAAATAACATAAGAATGGCACCAATATTATTTATGAAGTTTGCATAGACAAAAATATGACCACTTTACAATCGGACAAAAATGTGACCATTTAAAATATTCTCCCAACCCCAACCAATCCCGTCGATCTTTCTTCGGACGCGCAAGGTCTTCTCTCTTCTCGTGCAGGCATTTCTCTCTCCGCACCGGAGGCATCTTCTCTCTTCGCGCGGCCATGGTGCCTTCCTCTCCGCCTGCACAAGCCACCGGCGGTGGCACATCGTTTATTTTCCTTCCTCTCTGCACAGGGTTGCAGGTGCCTCTTCTCTTCGCACGGTGGCGCCATCCTCTCCGGCGCTCGAAGCCACCGGTCCTCCACTCTGGTCAGCGAAAACTAGCAATCGTCCAACCGTTCATTCTAAGATTTGAGTTACGAATTGAATTTTGAGTAGGGGTAGAAAGGTGGCTGAGGCTGAGGCTGAGGCTTTGAGGGGCTGTGGTGCGGCGTTTTTTGTAGGACAGAAGTACGTCGTTGTTGGGCGGGGTTGAGGGAGGGTGTTGTGGGGTTGGGGAGAGGGTGGTGGAGGGGCGCTATGGGAGCGGGTCTGGTAAGGAAGAGGCTTGACTGGTCACGCCGGAGTTGGCCAGAGTTGGTCGGAGTTGCCGTGTCACTTTGACCGGACTCATTAGCGTCGTGTCACTTTGTGGTTGTCAACGGCGGGGGCTGGTCAGGGGCTGGGCAAGACATGGTGTTGGGGGTAGGGCGGCGCTAGGGGCTGGGGCATGGGGATGGGATGGGGGATAGGGAGGGGCAGAGTTAGTGGCCGGTCGACGGGGGAGCAAGGGGTGCCAGCGGTGTTGGGGGATATATTTGTCGGAAAAAGTCATCGAAAGATTTTCCGACGATCATAGTGAGATGTTTTCACGACGTCAGTGACACGGGTGGCGGCGGTAGTGACACGAGCGGTAGCCACAGTGACACAGACGGTGGCCGTACTGACACGGACAGTGACCACAATGACATATGAGTATATGACAATGACATTAAAATTGGGTACTGACATTTTTATCTGGCAGTGACAGAAAAAATTGACAGTGAGATTGTTTTTCCAAATATATCACCTTCTTAGTCACATTTTTGTCCTTTTGCAAAAATGATCACATTTTTGGAAATTGGCTTTAATCTAGAAATATTCAAGGAAAAAGCTCATAACATAAAGGAGAAATAATTAAAATACCCAAAACTTTGAAGGGGTTTGAGATAAACACCCCAAACTTTCACATGTAATTTAAATACCACAAACTTTATATAAAAAGTTATTTTAACACAATGATCATGTACGTAGTATTATTTATTTTCAAAAATGTAAATTTATGGTGTTAATTGCATAATTTAAAATAGAAAATTGAAAATGTTGCAATTATATAGAGTGGGGGGACTGGGGGAATACTATATATTTTACAATGGAAGTTTAGCATTTAATTGTATCTTCATGAATGCTAGAATATTTTAAATTATGAAATTAACACCAAACATTAACATTTTTGAAAGAAATAATACATAACCATGATGCTAAAATAACTTCTAATATAAAGTTTGAGGTATTTAAATCACATACGCAACTTTGTGCTGTTTACCTCACACTCCTTCAAAGTGCGGGGTATTTTAATTATTTTTCCCTAACATAAACAGAAATGAAACATAAAAAATTAATTTTGGAAGGATACAAATGAAAAGTATTATATTTGCAATGAATAAAAACATATTTAAATGTATGCTTTCAATATAAATTTATTTTCAATATTTCAGTAAATTGAACCGTTTCAATAGTTTCGGTTAGAACTAATCATAACCTGGTCCAAATAGGATCCGGCCGGTTACATGTCAGTGTGGTCTTAAGTCGAAGTTTTTATCGATTATGGTTTCGATCTGTCCAGTTCGAAATCCGGAATATTCCGGTCCAGAGAGATTAGTAGTATAGTGTTAGAAAAATGGGTTAAAAATTGCATTAAATGGTCATTTTGGGTCAATTATTTGAGTGGGTTCCACTTCCGATTTGGGTCGGGTCAAAGTGGTTTCGGATTGTCCTTGTTAAGGGCTACAATTTGATATGTGGTACACTCAAAACGGATAACGGGTGAATGAGAAATTGATTCTCAAAGTTCACTCGTTGAAATGGAAAAAACTGGGAAAATGATGAGTTTCTAGTGTGTTCTATCTCACATCGGAAAACTCAAGGGATTTTCATCCCCTTATAAATGGAAGCTTCTTTTGAGGAGTTAAGATTCCTAAAGGTAAAGGCTCTCTCTTACGCGCAGGGGGTGCCGATCAGATCCCGAAACGGAGAAGAAAAACCTCTACTCGTGTGCGCGGGCGACCTGCGGACAGAAGGTATTCTGGTCTTCTGTTCGCAACAGAAGGTCTTCTGGACCGTTACAACAATAAATTCCCAACGTCCTTCTCTTTTAATGCTACGTTAAATGGACAGTTTATGGACGATTCAATGCCCAACGGACTGGTCATTGATGTCCAACGTTCAGGTCCATTAACACCTCATTTAACACACAACAAATCCTCATATAAATAGCTGACAGGTGGTTTGCAACAACACAACACACAATACATTCCTCACGTTTTCTTGAGCTAAAAACACTTCCAGTTACTCCGAAATTTCCTAAGTGTTCATACTGTGTTCTAGTTCACCGGAACTTTCGTTTGTGTGCTCAAACGTTAGTTCGTTAGCCACCGTATCCTGAGAAACGGTCGTTGCACCGCTCCTAGCACCGTGGGAGGCGACATCGTTTCATCTATTTTCTGTTTTCTTTTAGCTATTTTATTTATTAATTAATTTTATTTAATTAATATTTCTTCATTTTTCCGAGACACACCCAACATATAGTGCATGTTATTATTATGATTTAATATTGTTATAATTAATTACGGAGTATTAATTTAAAAATCATTTCGAAATGGGGCTGTCAGCTCCAAATTTCGGGCAAACCAAATACTGGTAAACTGGTGAATCTTATATTCCCAAAATGGTGTACGATATCATTTCAATTTTGATTGAAACTAATGATTCTGATTTAAATTTTATGTTAGTTTGTAGGTCTACCAATGAATAGGGTAGGTTATACCCAACCTTGAACGACCTTTTAATGAGTAAGAATCTACATGTCTTGTTACACAAATTTGATATAAATTTCAGACTCATTATATATATCAATAAATGAAAGAATTTTTGCTTTAGTGGTTAAAACTAGTTTTTCACCCGTGCGTTGCACGGGAATTGATTTATATGCACATGTATAAAGTAATTTGATATATGTGTTATATTTTATATTCTACTTTAAGAGTGTAAGAGTGTAGGTAATATCGGAAGACATAACATAAAGTAGAATATAAAATATAACGCATATATCAAATTACTTTATCATCAGATATCACAGATTTTAATTTTCAAGGATTTGTAACTATACATAGCGCCACATACTGACGTAAGAAGATGCCTACTCTTTCAAGCGAGTGACTTTGATTCTTTTTTATGGTTATTGCATAACCAACCACTAATGGTAATTGCCTGAAACATGAATGACAATCTAATATCGGATGGTGTAAGTGTTAGCCTAGGAATATAGACCTTCTTACCAACATTTATCCAAGTCAATATTTGAGTCTCAATAATATTATCTCCAAGCCGGGTCACAATAAGTCAAGACCATTGCATAATCTTAAAGAGAAATCAATATTCGTCATGAGCATGCATGACAGGTACACCTACCTTTAACTTGATTTTATGTGCCCGAACTCCAGAACATTGTATTTCATAGGTACGTTGCATAGGTATGTAGCGATTATAGCATTAGCAATATTTTGATAATCGAGAAACACTACGTATTTGACAAAAATAATAGTATCTTTATCCACCTAAAATTAAAATAAGAGGAATTATGGTTATTAAGAAAAATGTAACTGTGTAGTTGGTATTAAATTGATAGTGTGAAAAAATTAAGAATGAAATATAATCATCCAAATATTTCCAAAAATGGTATAAGTATTGCTCCTGCATACCACATACGTGTTTGTCCGGAACATAATAACATACCACCAATAATGTATGATTGTGTAGGTAAAAAGAACCAAAGATTAAAAATGGTAATTTATGTCCCAAATTATTGAAGTGGAGCGCCAAGTATCTTGTGTTTGATGTCATCACTGTTGATCTCTCAAAGAGAAGGTCGCAAGTTTGAGTCTCATTCCAATCAAGAATGTTGGC